CGGGCGGGCGGCGGCGCGGGGGCTCGCCGAGTCACTCGGTTTTCAGGGTTCCAACTTTATTATTGTTATTATTATTGCCAAAAAGCTTTATGTATAAAGTCTCTGTTTAGTTCTTGCATGGTTGTTGCATCGATTTATTGTGCGCCGAAGAAAATTCCCTTCTCTTTCTCTTCCTCAGAACTACCCGCCTTACATCTCGTCGAGCATCCCCTTTCTTGGACATGCCGTTGCGTTTGGAAAAAGCCCCATTGAATTTTTGGAAAAAGCTTACGAACAGGTTTGTGCTTCCACGTGACCACCAGAGCAAATGCTGAAATATATTTGCTTGCCTTTTAGTTCTGTGTCTTGGGTCTGCTTAGAGCACGTTCGCTCTCATTAACTGACTCGAATATGGTATGAAGCATGCACTAGATGCTCTGTCTTTTTTTTTTTTTTGAGGTCTTCTTATATACTTTGCAGTTTTGTTCGCGAAAAATAAAAAAAGCTCTGTGCTATCTCATGAGAAGCTGTTAGGATGTGTATTTGGGTAATGTTTGTAGCTGAATCACAAGGAACTAAAAAAAAATCTTTTATAACCTACTTTAATCTCACTCTTCACTAATCTGTTTGAGACCAGGTTGGAATACAGTAATCTGCCTTCTTCGTAGGTTATTTAATGACGTTTAAGGCCCTTTGCAATCATAAAAACGATGGTGCATAAAAGCACAGTAATTTAAATAGCCCCAAAGGGAAAACAAATTTACTAATGCAGTAGAGCCTCAATTACAGTACAAACTATTGATCTGTTTCACAGTGTCTAAAACTTTGGAGAGGCATAGGCTTAAATCTAAGACTGGTTTGCTTAGAGAAAGGCTAAGATGAGACTAGATAAGGATCTCCTGGCGATGACATTTACACTTTATAATGTCATTTGCCAGTTAGCAATGTGTGACTTCAGACTTACAGTTTTTCAAGGCAGTGTTCATGGATTGCTGTAGGCTTATGTCCTGTAGTCTGTTTGCCAGTTTTCTGGTGTTATTAATCTTTCATTTAACTTTTTTTCTTTTTTATTTTTTTTCTTCCAAATTATGAGAGTCTTACAATTGGGAGAAAGGCGAGTGTTAGTTATGATGTTGCATATCACTATGCTGTTAGATATCACTATATTGAACACAAAATTTAAATGTGGCTTAGAATATTCATATCCATTTTATATCTTTAGCCACTTCTTAGGGAAATAGTGACTTGGTGCCAGTGTCCTCTGTCCTTTCTTTTCTTTTTCTCCCTTACCTTCCTCCTCTTTGCTGCTTAAAATGACACATCCAGCACAATATGTATGTGTGCATCAGATCTATAGATGGAGGTGGTCAGTCCCCAACCACGTTGCAGAAATCGTTGCACTGAAGTAATGTCGTCATATATTAAATAGGTACCATCTTAGGAAAGGCTGTAGTGAAGAGATTGTTGTTTTTATGCTAAAGATGAACTGTTGTTTTTTTCCTCCTTAGTACGGGCCCGTGTTCAGTTTCACTATGGTTGGCAAGACGTTCACCTACTTGCTGGGCAGTGATGCTGCTGCTCTCCTCTTCAACAGTAAAAACGAAGATCTGAACGCGGAGGACGTCTACTCTAGGTTGACCACCCCAGTCTTTGGCAAGGGGGTTGCCTATGATGTCCCTAATGCGGTATGTATTTTAAAGATAAATTCCACAGAATAGTAAGTTCCTTTAGCTCCCGACCAGGGAGCCGCTGTGATGGGATTTGTTGTTCGTGCACAATTCTAACAGCAAGGCACAATGCAGAAGGCAAATCTCAGTTGGATGATCAAGAGTGAACATGTCTGTGCTGCTTTATTTATCATTGGCTGTTCCTGACGCTAATTCTTGGTTTTGAAACAATCTGGTTCCATGATGGTGGCAAGGCTAATCAGTGAGTCATTTTTTAACTTATCTTCCAGTGTGTCACTGACTACAGTTTACTTTTCTTTTAAGAACAAATTTAGGCTTTCCTTCTGAGAGAGCTCAAAAATGCTATTTTTTTTCATTTATGCCATATTAATGCATATGCATTCAAAATTTGGCATCACAAAGTGTGTCTTGCTAGGGCAAGAATCTGTCTTGGTGTGTTTGCAGAACACGCAATCTGTATGGGTCTGAGAGTAGAGTGGCACGTCTCGTTCCTCAGCTGAACGTTGCCTCGTGTTGTCACTTGCTGTTCTAAGTCTGTGTGTTGCTTGTCAGGATAGTCAGGCTCTTAAGTACAGGTGTCTGCTGCTCCCTGGCTAGACTGCTCCCCTGCTAGTCCCATCTAGGGTGTGTTGGCACTGAGAAGCCCTCTGGCTTGCAGAGGAGTCTGGTGGCAGGAACCCCACTGGGCTATACCTTATCTTTGGGTTTTCAGTTGTGGCTTTGTGCAGGTTGTTTCTGCAGATGACCATCACTTGATCTGTCATGCTTTGTCCAGCCATCAAGACTCTGCTTCCTTAGCTTAGTCTTTGGTAGAGGTGTGTCCCTTTGCAGGATCCTTTGGCAGGGAAATACAACAATAAGAGAGTTACTTGGCTTAGGGTCTGAAATCACTAGGCTGTTTTCCACTACCCCAGCACGGGCTGGCGTGTCCTTTCTTGGCACCTTGCCTGTCTCACTGCTCGTGGCTTGTGTATCCTGATAGACTGCTGGCCTCTGCACTGTGTCCAGGAGACAGAAGCTACTGGGAAGTAGCCTTTCTTTTACACCTTCTGTTCTGTGCACATCTTTACAGAACATGCAGACATCTTGGTAAGAAAATGGCAGATTTTGGCCTGTTACTCAGAGTGTGGTGTAGCTCTGGAGAGCAGATGCCCTAATCCATAAATAGGACTTAAAAATTAATTGAATAGTTTCCTGAGAAGGTGGCACATGAACGCATTGAATAGTTCTCTGTGAATAATTGGATTATTTTTTACCAGTAGATTTATTAGTTACAATTCTGTATGCAGAAAAAGAGAGCAAGTTCAGCAAGCTGCGAAGCTGAACACTTCCCTGGGAAGCAGTTTGCTTCCTGTCTCTGTTGGACTTCTTGGGCAGTGAGATGAGTGGGCATTAGGAAAGAAAGGGGAGCTTCTAAATGGGAGGAAAGGTGTTATAGCATGAGAAAAGGGAAAAAAAAATGGGGGGAGATGAGCAAGAAGGCTGCGTAATGCTGAACTGAAGCTGTATCCAGACCTTGCAGGGCAGGTTTCATTAGCTTTGGGACTATGTGTGTAGTTATTAATTGCATGCCTGAAGTGTATTCCATATGTTGATCCTGTGTGCACCTTGCATCTTCATTGTTAAAACTTAGCAGAGAAAAGAATTAATTATTTTCCTATTTTGGTAGAATGAGGAATTGCAGTTCTTAGGCTATTTTTTTGGATATTATTAGACTTTTGCTTGAAAAATGAAACAGGGGAAACAAAGTTATCTGGTTTTTAAATCTTAGTATTTGCTGAACCCTTCCGATCTTATCATATTTTTTTTTTTACCTTTTGTATGTTGTTATAGTACAAATAATAATAAATTGATTAGTTACATTAATATGATGGTGTTTGCACTGACTAACACTTTCTTCTTTGTTCTAGGTGTTTCTGGAACAAAAGAAGATGCTCAAAACTGGGCTAAACATTGCCCAGTTCAAACGACATGTGTCTCTGATTGAAGAAGAAACAAAAGAGTATTTTAAAGCCTGGGGAGAGAGTGGAGAAAAGAGTAAGCAAGATAGATAGATAAATACCTTTACACTCTGATTTTCTGTGCAGGAATGAAGGCAAATGCAGCATGTATGTGTGTTCTGTAAACGATTTACTGCAGCAGTGTTAAAGGACTAAGAATATGGTGTAGGCTAAACTCTGCTAGATATAAGAAGAAAAATGCTAAATAAAGTTGTGATTATTCAGTTTTAAGGCTTTGCAAGATCTTGGCTCAGGTATCACATACACTGAAGATGTGTGCCCTTAGGGGAGATAAGATCAGGATATGGTAGGGTGTGCTCGTGCAGTGATACCGTTTGTGCTGGAGTTGCTGTGGGGGACTTGGCCATCGTGGTTATTGTCTTTGGGTTTTATGTGGGCCAGTAGCCATTTGGGTGAGGATCTTCTTTTCCTTCCCACCTGGCTTTCCTCGTTAGCCTGCTGGGCTTGTTACCCCCTTGCCATCATTGCAAGCCAGCGGTGAAAGAAAATGAACTCTGCAGTCCTCACAAAATAGCTTAATGAGCTGCAAAACTAACTGGTTGCCTGTGGATTTGTGGATCAAGTTTATGTCCTTCTTGGTGACATCTTTTATGCGTGGTAAGGATTGAACTTCTGCACGGTTTACCTTGTATGGAAGCATTAATAGCTTTCCTTGAAAATTTCCTAGGAAAAGGTTAAAATTGGCAACCTAGTTTAGTTATTAGGAGAGAGTCTGACAAACATAAAAAAAAGCTGTTTAGATTTTTCTAGGAAAACAAGCTGAAACGTTAAATAAAGTTAGAATAAAATCAATGTTTATTTGGTTACTTTTCTCCTGTACAAAATAAGCATAACCTGTAAAGCTTACTGGCTTTCCTGAAATGCATTCTCACTGTTCTCCTTCCAATCTTTCCTCAGACCTGTTTGAAGCCCTTTCAGAACTGATCATTTTGACAGCAAGCCATTGCTTGCATGGCAAGGAGATCAGAAGTTTGCTGAATGAGAAGGTGGCCCAGCTCTACGCCGACCTGGACGGGGGATTCACTCACGCTGCCTGGCTCCTGCCGGGCTGGCTGCCTCTGCCTAGCTTCAGGTGAAACAGCTTAGTGATTGCTTCTTTCTTTTTTTTTTTTTTTTTTCCCCCCCCCTTTTTTTTTTTTCCGGGTTTTCCAGCAATCCGGGGCTTCTTGGGCAGTGAGATGAGTGGGCATTAGGAAAGAACGGGGAGCTTCTAAATGGGAGGAAAGGTGTTATAGCATGAGAAAAGGGAAAAAAATGGGGGGAGATGAGCAAGAAGGCTGCGTGATGCTTAACTGAAGCTGTATCCAGACCTTGCAGGGCAGGTTTCATTAGCTTTGGGACTATGTGTGTAGTTATTAATTACATGCCTGAAGTGTATTCCATATGTTGATCCTGTGTGCACCTTGCATCTTCATTGTTAAAACTTAGCAGAGAAAAGAATTAATTATTTTCCTATTTTGGTAGAATGAGGAATTGCAGTTCTTAGGCTATTTTTTTGGATATTATTAGACTTTTGCTTGAAAAATGAAACAGGGGAAACAGAAAGTTATCTGGTTTTTAAATCTTAGTATTTGCTGAACCCTTCCAATCTTATCATATTTTTTTTTTTACCTTTTGTATGTTGTTATAGTACAAATAATAATAAATTGATTAGTTACATTAATATGATGGTGTTTGCACTGACTAACACTTTCTTCTTTGTTCTAGGTGTTTCTGGAACAAAAGAAGATGCTCAAAACTGGGCTAAACATTGCCCAGTTCAAACGACATGTGTCTCTGATTGAAGAAGAAACAAAAGAGTATTTTAAAGCCTGGGGAGAGAGTGGAGAAAAGAGTAAGCAAGATAGATAGATAAATACCTTTACACTCTGATTTTCTGTGCAGGAATGAAGGCAAATGCAGCATGTATGTGTGTTCTGTAAACGATTTACTGCAGCAGTGTTAAAGGACTAAGAATATGGTGTAGGCTAAACTCTGCTAGATATAAGAAGAAAAATGCTAAATAAAGTTGTGATTATTCAGTTTTAAGGCTTTGCAAGATCTTGGCTCAGGTATCACATACACTGAGGATGTGTGCCCTTAGGGCAGATAAGATCAGGATATGGTAGGGTGTGCTTGTGCAGTGATACAGTTTGTGCTGGAGTTGCTGTGGGGGACTTGGCCATCGTGGTTATTGTCTTTGGGTTTTATGTGGGCCAGTAGCCATTTGGGTGAGGATCTTCTTTTCCTTCCCACCTGGCTTTCCTCGTTAGCCTGCTGGGCTTGTTACCCCCTTGCCATCATTGCAAGCCAGCGGTGAAAGAAAATGAACTCTGCAGTCCTCACAAAATAGCTTAATGAGCTGCAAAACTAACTGGTTGCCTGTGGATTTGTGGATCAAGTTTATGTCCTTCTTGGTGACATCTTTTATGCGTGGTAAGAATTGAACTTGTGCACGGTTTACCTTGTACGGAAGCATTAATAGCTTTCCTTGAAAATTTCCTAGGAAAAGGTTAAAATTGGCAACCTAGTTTAGTTATTAGGAGAGAGTCTGACAAACATAAAAAAAAGCTGTTTAGATTTTTCTAGGAAAACAAGCTGAAACGTTAAATAAAGTTAGAATAAAATCAATGTTTATTTGGTTACTTTTCTCCTGTACAAAATAAGCATAACCTGTAAAGCTTACTGGCTTTCCTGAAATGCATTCTCACTGTTCTCCTTCCAATCTTTCCTCAGACCTGTTTGAAGCCCTTTCAGAACTGATCATTTTGACAGCAAGCCATTGCTTGCATGGCAAGGAGATCAGAAGTTTGCTGAATGAGAAGGTGGCCCAGCTCTACGCCGACCTGGACGGGGGATTCACTCACGCTGCCTGGCTCCTGCCGGGCTGGCTGCCTCTGCCTAGCTTCAGGTGAAACAGCTTAGTGGTTGCTTCTTTCTTTTTTTTTTTTCCCTCCCTCTATTTTTTTTGTCAGCGTGTTCTAGACATCCGAGTAAACCTTTCTAAGTGTTTTATGTGTTACTTTGTATGAAGTTGCTAATGCCGATGCTTTGAAGCGCAGGCGCCGCGATCGAGCGCACAGGGAAATCAAGAATATCTTCTACAAGGTCATCCAGAAACGTCGGAAGTCCGAGGAAAAAGAGGATGACATCCTCCAGACTCTCCTTGATGCCTCTTACAAGTAAGCAAAGGGATTGGAGACTTGCTGTTTTGTCCTGGCTTGTGTCCGGAACGGTGCAGCCAGGAGGACCAGGGAAGGGATCGTCCCCCTGTACAGGTTGCTGAGGAGGCTGCACCTCGAATACTGTGCTCAGGTTTGGGCCTCTCACTACAAGAAGGACGTGGAAGTGCTGGAATGTGTCCGAAGGAGAGACCCGTGAAGCTGGTGAAGGGGCTGGAGCAGAGACCTTATGAGAAGCGGCTGGGGGAGCTGTGGTTATTTAGCCTGGAGGAGGCTCAGGGGAGACCCTGTTGCTCCCTGCAGCTACCTGAAAGGGGGCTGTAGTGAGGTGGGGGTCGGTCTATTCAGAGTAACTACCAACAGCACAAGAGGAAACGGCCTCAAGTTGCACTAGGGGAGGTTCAGGTTAGACATTAGGAAGAATTTCTACAGGGAAACAGTGGTGAAGCACTGGGACAGGCTGCCCAGGGAAGTGCTGGAGTCCCCGTCCCTGGCAGTGTTCAAGGAATCACAGAATTGTGGAACGCTTAAGGTTGGAAGGGACCTCTAGAGGTCATCTAGTCCAACCCCCCTGCGCACACAGGGTCACCTAGAGCACGAGGCACAGGGTGGCATCCGAACTGGTTTTGAAGATCTCCAGAGCAGGAGATTCCACAGCCTTTCTGGACAGCCTGTTCCAGTGCTCCATCACCCTCACTGTTAAGAAATTTTTCCTTAAGTTCCTATGGAACTTCTGGTGTTTCAATTTGTGGCCATTACCTCTAGTTCTCTTGGTGGCTGCCCCTGAAAAGAGGCCGGCCCCATCCTCTTCACTCCCTCCCTGAGGTATTTATAGACACTGACCAGGTTCCCTCTCAGCCTTCTCCAGGCTGAAAGGAATGTGTAGATGAGGCGCTTGGGGACATGGGTTAGCAGGGATGGTGGTGAAGGGCTTGGGGTTGGGCTTGATGATCTCGAAGGTCTTTCCCAACCATAATGATTCTGACTCTGTGGACAATTATGCTCTGCTTTGAAACACTTAAATGCCCCGTTCCCAGCGAGCTGAGGACGAGTTGCCCTCGCGGCCCGAGTGTCGGCAGGGTTCCCTAAGGGCGTTCCTTGTCGCAGGGACGGCCGGGCGCTCTCGGACGACGAGGTGGCGGGGATGCTCATCGGGCTGCTGCTCGCGGGGCAGCACACCTCCTCCACCACCAGCGCCTGGCTCGGCTTCTTCCTGGCGCGCGACAAGGCCACGCAGGAGCGCTGCTTCGCCGAGCAGAGGGCCGTGTGCGGGGAGCACCTGCCGCCCCTCACCTACGACCAGGTGGGTGCCCCGCGCCGCTCCGGGCGGGCCCTGGAGGCGCCTGCAAACATGGGAATGAGGTCCCGTGCCTGGCCACGGAACCGGGAGCTGGGTCCTAAGCGCCCCGTGGTGACGCTGCTGGCCCCTGCGCTTCCTCCAGCTCCTCCTTTCCCCTCCTTTTTCAACCTGCTGCCGTTCTCCATCAGTGTTGGCCAAAGAAACTTCAGTTCCTGTAAGCTCTGTTAAAATGACCAGCTGGGTAGGATCTTTGTATTCCCACAGAGGAGAAATAGGCGGTGTGATCTTTTTCTTCAGGTGGCCATCAGAAAACACTTGTGGGACAGTATGTAATTCTACTGGCCAGAGAATTATTAATTGAATTAAATGAAAAGCAGAAACTTAAGGTAGCTAATGAAGTACATGTAAATATGAGATGCTTATCCTTTGAAGTAGGATAAAGTACCTTTTTGTGGACACTGGATAAACTTGACTGTATCTTGGTATATCATTTTCTTTATATTTGCAGCTGAAGGATCTCAGTTTGCTGGATCGCTGTCTAAAAGAAACTTTAAGGCTGAGACCTCCTATAATGACCATGATGAGACTGGCCAAAACCCCTCAGGTGAGTGCAGTTACTGAAGGCAACCGCAGTGCAGCGAAGCAGCGCCGCTCGCCAGAACGTGCCAGGAACTCCGCAAAATCCAGCAGGGACAAATGTGGAGCTAGCCCATAGCCTTAGCCCTCTTTAGTCATTTGTTAGCATTAACCATCCTATTTTCTTCTACTGCATTAGGAACAAAGACTGATGTCCCTGTTTGAATACCTCTAAAATTAGACCTGTCTATCTATCTGGTCTAAACCGTGTAACTGTTTCTACTGAAGCTTCCTCCATGCTGTTGCCTGTGCTCGTGCCCTGTGGGAAGGGGGCTCTGCTTGGGCTGTGTGACATAGCCTTAACATGGGTATAGCATGTTGCCGCCCCTTAACCTTGGAATTACCTCTTGAGAAACGCTCTCTGGGTATGTAGTTTTTATAGAATTTATTTCCATTTCATGTATTACCCTATTTTTCTGTCTTCTGGATGAGCAAATCAAAATTATCACATTCATTAGTGCAGATTTGCACTAGAAGACAAAGGGTGAGATAAGTCTTTTTTTTTTTTCCTTTCTTTCTTTTCTTCTATAGTAATTACATGCAAATGGGTGTGTTAGGGAATTAGCTGCAGCTGCCTCCTTGCGCCTGCAGGACTCTCACAGGGATGTGTCCTGGTGCCATCCCTGGGGAAGAGGGGCCAGGTCACGTTGGACTCTTGGGCTGCTCTGGAGGAGGAAGTAGCAGCCAGAAATCCCAGCTTCCCTCTGCTGCTCCCGTTGTTTCCTGCAGACCAGGAGGGGAGTTCAGGGAGCCTGGGCAGGAATGTCGACCTCTCCTCTGACCATGGCATCCCAGGAGGATGTTTTGCATCCTTGGGAAGAGCCGCTGTAATGGAGTCTTATTCTCCTGAATAACTGACACCCTCCCAGAGTCAGTCTAAGCATAAAACTTGATGGGAGCTAAAGAACCAAATCCAGAGGCATAGTTACTGAAGGCTTCTGAAGAGTCTGTCTATGGTTTTATTTTGAAAGGGTGATAGTAACTACTGAAAGTCCTAATTTGCAAGCTGAAGTCTCACTGTAGAATTTCAAGTATTGCTTCAAAAAAACCAAGGGAGAATTTTCTCGTAACACAGCGGTTCTCTTTCCCCTGCCTTGCAGACCGTTGCTGGCTATAACATCCCTCCTGGCCACCAGGTGTGCGTGTCCCCCACGGTGAACCACAGGCTCAAGGACACCTGGAAAGATGCCCTTGACTTCAAGCCCGACCGATACCTCCAAGAGAACCCGGCGGCTGCGGAGAAATTCGCCTACGTGCCCTTCGGTGCGGGTAGGTAACAGGGAATGGGAACTCCAGGTCTTCCTGGTGACTGTACCTTGTGACTCCTGCTGCTCCAACATCTCCTAGAGCAGCTCCCTGCCCTGTAGCACCTGGACTTGCTGCTGCTTCTGCTGCTGCCTGGGAGTTTGACTCCAGTGGAAGTGGCCTTCCAAGAAGGCAGCTGATGGGAGCCTTAGCCTCGTGTTTAGTAATGGGTGTAAGCAGTACTTGGAATAGCAATTAAAAAGATGTTCTGGTTAGCATGTGTTATATTTAAAGTCTTTAAGTGACAGGTGAAAGCCTGTTAATACAGGTCATAAAATACAGGTTAATTACAGGTTGTAAAATAAGTCATCTTCAGGTCATAAAATGCAGAAAGAGATTCGTAACTCAACACTTTGCAGCCAGGACTGCAGTGCAGCTACAGCTGGTACCTTCGCAGTGTTGTGAACTCTTTAACGTTGCATAAATTCCCATTGGTGGGAGAAGAGAGCAGCAGAGTCCGAACTGCTCAGGGCCTGTTCTGTGTTTTAAAAAGTTCATGAAAACAAGACTATCATGTAATTACATAAGGTTTGCTGGATCAAAATCTCAGGTTGTTTAGAAAGAAATGCTGACAGCTCATGTAAAACTTCTAATGTCGACTTAGTTATAAAAGCACCTTTGCCAACAAGTGTTCTGTAAGTAACTGCTGTGGCTTCCCTTCCAGGCCGTCATCGCTGCATTGGAGAGAACTTTGCTTACGTTCAGATTAAGACCATCTGGTCAACTTTGCTTCGTTTATATGAATTTGATCTCATCAATGACTATTTTCCAACTATAAATTACACAACAATGATACATACACCCAATAACCCAGTGATCAGATACAAGAGGAGGTCGCTTTAAGTTCTGGAATGAAAAACCTTATCTATTTGTGTGAACTAACAGACTTTGGAATAAAACTGACAAAAATTAATGGCAGTTGGAAACTGTTCCATCTAATGACTATGAAAGCAACAATAATCTATTACTATAAGCCTATTTAATTTGTTCTTCCATGCTTTTTTAATGCTGCTGTATGTAATTGCTTGTTTTGCAACTTTTTGTTGCATTTTTAAAAGAAAATTGTCTTTTCTATTTGTGTAACGTTTTTGAAGTGCACGCCCCCCTTTTCTTAAAGGTGAAGAAACAATGCAATTTCTGCAACCTGAAATCTTTGTTTCTGAAAAAGAGTTAAAAGTTAATTTTCCTCTCCTAAAGAAAGAGGCTTCTGTGCCCAAATACAGGAACTCTGTCAGGTAACAGGCAGCTGATTCCTTGGAGCTCCCCTCTGAGAGCAGAACTGCAGCTGGTGAAACCAGCTACCTGGGGCCTTGGCTGACACCTGAGAGTGGCCCCAGGCTTCTTTAAAAAAGGGTTATTGTACAGGTGATGACTGAGCCGATTACAAAAATACTTAGAAGATTTTTCTAAGAATGATTTTTATGCCTAACTTGAAGCTGCTGTACCCTGGTAAGGCTCAAAAAGACCGTAATTTTCTACAAAAACTTCTGAAAACTGGTAATTTCATACTTGTATCAGGCTTTTACAAAAGTGAGTGCACACTGGTACAAACAACTTGAATTCTCTGAAGAACTATGTATATAGAGTGGTCAAAAGAAATGAAATGTGAATGTTGTTCTCTGTACTGGCTCCTGTAGGATTGTTAAAGGGTGTTTGTTTAAAGATGATAGATGGTAATAAGCTCTGGTTCGTGGAAACTTTGAATTAAATCTCTAAACAAACCAACCTCTTGTGGCATCTGTACTCAACCTTTCAGGATTTTTTACTTCTGAAAAAGCTTTTCTACTTCATACTTTTAATAGGTGACTTTATGGAAGGCAGTCACCCACGGAGCTTTTTCTTTCGGTAGTGCTTACTGCCCCCGGGGCTTGCCCAGTTTTGCCTAGTCTAAGCCTTGGTCAAACCCTCTCTTAAAAAAAGTCTTTAATCAGCAACTGCTAGACTGGAGCATCTGCTCTTCTAATCCTCCCATGTGGGATGAGGGGCTCCAGAGAGCGGCCTCGCAGCTGCCTTTGGAAGGGCCTGGGAAGAGCCATGGCACAGGGGGGAGTTTTGCTGTGCCATTGAGAGCACGTCTCGATGTGAAAGGTACTTCAAATAGCAGAACACAGCTAAAAGGATGAAGTTTTTATTTCAGTACTTTGACAAAATACCCATAAAATTCAAAACTTCTACCCTTACAAAAATAGGTCTCTACAAGTGAGATTCTGTCTGCACTGCCAGTAGCAAATCCGAGGACAGAGGTGTGCGACAGCAGCAGCCTTGCCAGAAAAAGTGCAAGTGAACGTCACCGAAGGGAGCTCCACTTCATTGATGCACAAGTTTAATCTTCGCACCCTCTTGATAAATACACACTTCATAAGTTAATCATTTAAATTAGCATTCCACAAATATACATGTAATTTGATGATTTTTTTTTCTTTGCATGAACACAAGTGCCCTGTACGTGCCCCCAGGCTGTGCCAGGAGGGGCAGTGTTCACGGTGGTCCCACAATATACAACACACTGTACAGAAGCCCGGAGCAGAGTCACAGAAGGCCACCACGGCGGCACCGGCCGCGGGGCAGGGGCCAGAGGGACATTATCTTCTCATGCCAGAGAGCAGCTGGGTGTATGAAGTGGAACCTGTGAGACAGAAAAAAATTTAATTAGAATGGTCAGAATTACAAACTTGAAATAAGTAGATGATCATTCACAACCCTCCTGGTATTTAGCTCAGTAAGCAAGAATGGCAGATTTTCCACAGAATATCTTCCGAGAATAACATTTCCTCAAATAAGGGATTCTGTGTTAAAGTAAAGCTTGGATACAGTAATTTTGATGTCAAAGACGACCACTCGGTCAAGTTCGCTGAGCCAATCCCATTGACCTGACAATTCTATTTTACAGCAGAGAAGCGACTATCCGTGGGACAAAATGACTGTAAGACCCCCCTGCCCCAATCCCACCGCCTGTCAGTCTTTTGGGTACATCCTTCACCACGTAGCTTAAACTCTTAGTGATCCCTCCTGCACCAATGTTACGGGTGGAGGAAAGCCAGAGGTTTTCCTAAGGAAGGGCACCCCCAGCGCAGCCCCGCGGGCGCTGCGGCAGGACCCGGCTTTGCCCCGGGTGGCACTTGCCGGAGTGGGCGCTGCCCAGGCGCCGCTGCAGGGCCTCCAGCCGGCTGATGTAGTCGCTCAGAGCCCTCTCCGGGTCGTAGTTCTGCAGCTGGGAACAGGCGAACGACACCGGCGTTGCGTCCACGTGCCCGCCCTGGAACCTGAGCAGAGAGAAAGGCTGCTCACTGCGCAGCAAAATGACATTAAAATACACCTAGCAGTAGGCAGAGCAAAATACTGTAAGCAGAGGTACTTCACTGAACGCCTGCGTGTTCACCGGCCCACACAGTGGCCACTGCATCACTTAATGTCCCTGCCTTTATTGCCCAAGACACCGTGTGGCCTCCCGCAGGGAAACTGCAGCCAATTCGCTGCTCCCTTCCTTTGGGAAGGAGGCTGATGAGCAGTTTCCTACCGAAGCTCCAGCAGGAGCAGCAGTAGATTCAAGTTCGCTTCCCTGTTAAGCTTGTGTAAACAAGGGCACAGGCACCTGTATAGGATTCTGTCTCTCTCCATTACTTTTTGTAAGTAAAAGTCAAAAGCAGCTAAACTAGATTATTGTTTCTGTGTAAACAACTGTCACTGTTGTCACTCGCTGAGATCATGAATGTGCAGCTGCTCACAGAAAACTGAAGCCCTAGATCTGCTGGAGCCTGATGCCCAGGGCAGCTGGGACCCCACGACTCCTTGGGGGTCTCCAGAGGCCAACAGTGCTCTCAAACCCTTGATGCTGGTGAAATACAACCCTTTTCCCCAGGTTCCTACTGCTGGGGTCCCCACTTGGCAGGGCTGACTAAGAGGTTAAACAACCAGGAGAGCCACGGGGCAGGTTCCAGCTCCCGGGATGCCTTGGCTGCACTAACGGCCGGGAACGCGGAGCTCGGCACGCCTGGGCTCTCTGGGCTATGGGAAAAGGAACGTGTAAGGCTGGGATATTCACTCTCCTTACGGAAGGAAAAATCTTACTGCATCTAACTGACAAACCTTTGCAATAAAAACATTGATGCATTTCCTTAGTAAATGGTATTCTGAAAAGGGATAAGCATGTAAAATGCAACATACTTATGCTGAAAATTCACAGGAGATCTGGGAGGCTCCATGTCTGATCTGGATCTGTAAGAATGTCTTTGTTCTCCATAAAGATCCATGCCACCGGAGAACGAATCAGGCCGTAACTCATTACCTAAAAATATAAATAGCAATGTCATGGAAAGCATATAAATATATATATATATATGTATTTTATTTCCTTTGGCCAGAGCAGGACGTTGAGCAAACGCCGCCTTCGGCCCCGGACACCCCCACAAGGCCCTGGTAGCGGAGCAGGCCCCTCTTCTCCAGATTCTTTCACCGAATCACAGATGGTTGAGTTTGGAAGGGACCTCTAGAGACCACCTAGTCCAAGACGCCCTTTCAGACGCCCTGAGGGAGACGTGCGGTGCTGCCCGGGCCTCCCTGCGGCTGCCGGCAGCGCGGGCTGCTCCTGCACACCTGGAGAGCACGGAGTGAGTCAGGAAGGAACCTTTCTCCATCTGTTCCTGTCCTCAGTGTTCCCTCTTCGAACTAGGGATACAAATTTCTCAGGGGAAACCCACTGAGGCAGGTAAAGTTGCTAGGACAAACACAGAGGGAAAGTTGCCTTTTTTCCTTTTTTAAATCCTGCCCATAACGAAGCAAAACAAGATTGGAGACAAAGTGAGTGCTTCAGTGTCTCAGCAGACCATGGAAGTGATCAGAAACCTGAGAAATTCACCCATCCCAGCAATTCCAGCAAAAGGAAGGGGGAATGGCAGCCCAATCACTCTGCCTGAGGAAAAGGAAGATTGAAAAGCAGCCTCATTCAGCAGCAGGGGGATTGGTGACCACCCTTTCCTCAGCCAGTCCTGGGCTGGGATTTACCTGTGTTCTGGCTAAAGACATCCCTGCTGATGGTTAATATCCCAGAACCTGTAACTCTGTGCCAGCGACGAACCAAAAACTTCATCCTGCATTAAAACAAAAGAAAAAAAGAAAGGAAGAAAAACCAACATGTAAGAATTTCTTAAAGAACAAGCAAAATGAGTATATGTGTTTTTAAAACCTTAAGATTAGGTAGAGAACATCCTTATACACATCTCGACCCTAAAAAAAAATCTTTGTCAAAATCTCCTTGCAGTTTCACCTCTGCAGTTCAGTGGTTCCAGCCGTGCTGCCTTGCTGAAGCAGACAGCAAAGAGCTGCCCTGCACAACACAGCAGCCACACTTCAATCCACAGAGTGGCACTAAATCAGCACCCAGCCCCACTGCGTCACGCAAAGACAAGTAATGACAGCGCGTTTGGAATAAAAGCCTCCCCACAGCTACTTGAGCAGCTCCTTGAATTCAGCAAGCACAAACATTGGGAGGTTCAAACCTTGTGGGAGAGGTTTCCTTGCAATGCAGCAGGATGAGGATACAGGGGCAGCTTTTTCTTTTACTCATCCTGAGCCCGTGGCCGCTCTCCTGGGGCCTGTGGCTGCAGTCACACACACAGCCAAGGACTCTCTGAGCTGGGGGTGACACAGCACCCTGCAGATTTCCTCAGCGTTTCTGAGCATTTCAGCAACTTAATTTCCTGTCATCCATAAATCTTTATGATACTTACGTTTAAGAGTATGACTTTCAGAGAAAATTAAGCTGCAGAAAATACATTTGTAAATAAGCACACGCTCTAGAAATTAATAGTAATTATTCTTTTCTAAAGTTAAGGCTGCATCCAATGCA